TAGGAATAAAAAAAGGGAGGGATAGGAGGCCTAAATTTTTATAACATCTTTGAATCTGTTAGCTTAACTTAGCAGGAATAAAGAAATAAGCTGATCTGAAATGTCAAAAAAGTTTCTGGGTGCCAATAATTATTTCTTGCCTTTGGCTGTTCTGAATATAGGTGAGAGAACATAATCGGCTACATAGTACTGTACTATTCCAGGTTTATAATACTTTTCACATAAATAATACATGAAACACAGACACAAAAATAAAACATTTTTAATCTTACAGTACAGTACCTTGAAAAGTACAGTAGTACAGTAGAAGCTGGCATCCAGGGGCTGGCATGGAGTGAACAGGCAAGAAGAGTTACTGCCTGGAGGAGAGTGAGGAGGTGGGAGGTGGTAGAGCTGAAGGACTGTCAGCTACAGGAGACGGAGGGCGAGCTGCAATTTCACTCATGCCTGATGTTGATAGAACGCATGTTTGGATTTTTGAAAATCCACACTTGAAGGCTTGTACGTAGAAGACTTCCTGTCTATTATTTTAAGAAGAGTGGTAGTGGTATTTTCTGGTTGGAATCATTCTATCACCCCATCTAATTACCAGTCATGCTTCTTTAAAGCATACCCTATTTTAGTTTCCTTTATTATATATGGGAAGGGGGTGCATATAACACCTATCTTAGATAGGTAGCTCAGCTGGTAAAGAACCTGCCTGCAATGCAGGAGACCCTGGTTTGATTCCTGGGTCAGGAAGTTCCCCTGGAGAAGGGATAGGCTACCCACTCCAATATTCTTGGGCTTCCCTGGTGACAAAGATGGTAAAGAATTTGCCGGCAAGGTGGGAGGCCTGGGTTTGACTGCTGGGCTGGGAAGATCCCCTGGAGGAGGGTATGGCAGCACACTCTAGCATTCTTGCCTGGAGAATCCCCATGAACAGAGGAGCCTGGTGGGCTAGTCCATGGGGTTGCAAAGAGTCAGACATGACTGAGCGACTAAGCCCAGCACAGCTTAGATTGACTACGGAGATTAAGTTAATGCATGAAAAGCACTTAAGTATTGAATAACTATTAGCTATGATTATGAATATTATTATTAATGATTATGATTAAGATTGAGACCCTAATGGTATGACCCTAACAGTAGGACTAAATTGTGTTAGCCCTGATCTGAGGTGGTTGCATGCATGCTAAGTCACTTCAGTTGTGTCTGATTCTTTGTGACCCTATGAACCATATTCTGCCAGGCTCCTCTGTCCATGCGATTCTCAAGAATACTGGAGTGGGTAGCCATGTCCTCCTCCAGGAAATCTTCCTGACCCAGGGACTGAACTCCGAGTCTCCTGCATTGGTAGGTGGGTTCTTTACCACTAGCGCTACGTATCTCTCATTAAATGCCTTTGTCAACCATTCTTCAAATATCAGAACACTTTAGGGATGTTAGCCAGGGGCAAAACTTTCTGCTTCACCATAGTCTATAAGACCTAGAGTTTGAAAGATGCCCCAAGGGGCCAGATGAGCATTCAGAGTAAGGAGATGTTTACCGTAACCCAGCCTACTAATTCCAACTTCTACTAACTCAGCAAGTGATCTTTTCAAAGAGGAGTCTAGTATTCAAAAATTCTCTGTGTCTGCTTATAAATTCCCTGCAGCTAAACACTAATACACAGTGTTTGGGAGATAACACCTTTTTGAAGAATAATTATTCATGAAAAAGTGTAACAGTCTTTTTTTGCACTCTGTAATTATAAATGACGTACAAGTAGTTCTTGAATTGCTGGATAGTTATAGACTGTGAAGTTCAATAACAAGTTAGGTGTCAGAATGTTCGGTGTCCTGTGTATACATCTCCATTGAAGTTGGTGGCAGTTTCTGGGCACAGTCACATCAATAATGCCCATCCATAGGTAGTTTACCAGGTTAAATAACTATGATTCTGGGTGTAATTGACCACTTGTTACCCTAAGAATAATTCCAGACAGGAGAATAACAGGATGAAGGGGCCTGTGTTACTGCTGCCTATAAAAATAAATAAGATCCTTAGGGTTTAATTAGAGGACTGACAATTACACCTAAAGCATGCTAATGTTCAAATGGGAACATTGGACATCTGGAAGATGAGTCCAGATTTGGTCACTTGCCTGTAGGAAACTACATCCAAGAAATGGTGAGTGTCCAATGGAGCAGCGATGCTCACATTTGGCATTTGCACACAGGCAGAAATGACAAAGGTGAACGTAAGCTGGTCTGAGAATAGAGTAATTCAGGGGAGATAAATGGGAAATGGGGCTTCCCTGATGGCTCAGCTGGTAAAGAATTCAAACACAATGCAGGAGACCCGGGTTCGATCCCTGGGTTGGAAAGATCCCCTGGAGAAGGGAATGGCTACCCACTCCAGTATTCTGCCTGGAAAATCCCTGGGACAGAGGAGTCTCATGGGCTGCAGACTATGGGATCACAAAGAGTCAGACACAACTGAGCAACTAACATGCGTGCAAACACAAAAGGGAAGTGTACTTAAAATCCCAAGGAATCCAGGATTATGGCAGCTTCTTTGACCCTAACACAAAAAGACGTCATTTAGAAGGAAGAACAGGTACATAAAAATGTTCTTCCTTCATAATAACACACATGGCCCTTGGAACTCAACCACACAAGATGCCAGCTGGCATCAGAGAGTCCACTGAAGAAAAGAATGTCTACAGGGCCTCTAATGGTTACAGAAGGTATATAGACGGGGTCAGGAAAGGAACTTTTACAGCGTAAGATATAGAACAGCTTTTTTTGGGCCACATTTCTTGGCATGTGGGATCCAGCTCCCTTACCAGGGATTGAACCCAGGTCCCCTGCAGTGGAAGCATGGTGTCCTAACCACTGGACCACTAGGGAATTCTCAGAAGAGCTTTGATAGAGAGCACTGTGTATCATTTTCTTCCTCTCACCCCTCTGCTCTACCACCAATGTCAAACAATCATTCATATATATGAATGATTGTGCATATATATATGATTGCATATGTATATTATATGATTGTGTGTATATACACAGAGTATATTCCATAGTTTCAAGTGCATCAGAGATGCTAATAAGAGAGACAGGATCCTTGTTTCCACCTTCTTCTTTACAAGTTATGAACAGAAAGGTTTTTTTGTTTGTTCTTTATATGGTTTCAAGAGTCACTTTGAGAAAACTGCCTCTCCCCTTTATATCAAGATCCCATGTAAAACAAGTTTTGTGTAGTTTCGGCATAAAATGTTAGGCTTCTTGGCATATTTTCTATTCTTTCGCTCTTTTCCTCCATAAAAAGCTAAGCTCAGTGTCACTAAGTGACTGGGAATCCTCTCTACACGGTATAGCAAAATCTAAATGATACCATTTAGATGACTCGAGTAAAACTCCTCAAAGACAGAGAGCGCAGCTTAAGTGCATGGTTTAGAGGCAAGAGTAAATGGAGTGGAAAAGTAGTAAAAGTTGGGTTTTAGAAGGTTTAGTACTTATGATCTGGCGGCCCATTGCAGTTCCCCTCTCCTCAGGAGACAGATGGAATGGGTCACGCGAGTGTTAAGAGGGAATCAATTCATGAAAACTCAGCCATGAAATGGAAAGTCAAAATGAAATAAGCACGAGTGTAGCTATGTTGGTCTATTAATATTCAAATATTAATACCTCCTTTTCTTGGAGAGACATTGCTCAATATTTATTGACAAGAAAAAAAGATAGTTGGAGGAGAGGAATGCATTCAAGAAAAGTGTTTGAACAGGGTTTGAATGTGCGGTTTGCTTAACTCTGTGTAACTGTCAGCCAATTAAATTTCCCATCCAAGTGCATCTACCAATTTAGGGTCTCTTGGAAAAAATTTCCAAAATTCATTACAACTTTTCATAGGGGTGACACACAGTCCTATTTTCCTAAGACTCTGACTATTTGAATACAATAGTATTTGATTCTGTTAGTAGAGAATAAACTTGAAAAGAAAAATATCTTATTTTGTTTATGCAGAAGCCTATTAAAAAAAACATTTCTAGGGGCTCTCCTGTTTATTCTCTAGAATGTAATCTATCTTTGAAGTGGTATATTAGTTTTTAAAAAATCATTCCCAAGCTGAATAATTAGACAAAAGCTATTCTTAGAGTGCATTTCCATCTAAAGCTATGCACATGATGCTTTGATTCAAGTAATATTCTTATAAAACGTTGTTATTGTTTGAGGTATATTCAGAGTGGCAACTTTTGTTTTTGATGCTATTCTTATAAAACTTTGTTATCATTTGAGATCTATATTCAGAGTGGCAACTTTTGTTTTTGATGATTATTCCATCCTGAAACAATTTCCCCTCTACCCAATTAAACCAGAATGAGGAGCACATTTGTATCTGCTAAAGCTTAAACTTCTCCATCTTGGGCCCTTTAGTGATGACATTCATTTTGTCTCTGCAACAGGGCTCAAAAGAAAATGGAATCAATTCCCTTAAGTTTTTCTGGAAGTGGAAGGTTGCTTTTGTTGCTTTGATCTTAGCATGTTGTGCATTTTTTATTGGCTGTCAAATATAAAAAGCCATTGCCTCATCTGTTTTTTCTGCTATATTCTCATATTGTAAATCACATAATGCCTTCCAATCTAAAGTAAAACATTCAGGTCCAAAATGCCATTTCAGAATTGATTTATCATTACAGTTGATGGAAACATTTCCAGGGGTGTAAGAAAACTATCCAATGTTTGATTCATATGCCACAGACTGCTAAAAATATCTCCATGCGCTTTAGACAACAGATTCCAGGATGGAGACATAGACTCATGTTATTTTTGATTGTTTTTCCTACCCTTGAAAGAGGCAGTTGTAGCTTATGTAGCAGCTGGCTGGGTTATTGCTTCTATAATATAATCCACAATGCAAAAGCAGCTCTTTCCCAAACATCCTAGAGTAACTGAAGTTGTTTACATGTCTCTGTTAGGTAATTTTCCTATAACTTTGTGCCAATTGGTTTCATAATATTTGGTAAAAATCATTCAATCAAGACAACTGCACTTAGTTAAATTTTTTTCATACAGAGAATTATAGGAAAGTTACAGCTAGCTGATTTGAGGCCATCGGCATAAAGTCAATACAGAGTTTTAGAAAAAGAAAGCAAACTACAAAAATGGAGTTGTATAATTAAACATCAAATAGTCCAAGTAATAAAAGTCATAGATTAACTGTCTCTCAGTTCTAGTCAGATCCTTTAAATACTGTCCCACCACCTGAGCATTGGTTCTTTTATCAGAAGAGTGCCTGTCTTTAAAGTTGGGAAATTTCAGTTCTTTTGGAGCTCCGATCAGCTGTAAAAAGTAATTGGCATCTTCTTCCAAAGTTTCAAATTTCCCTACAAAATCGTATTGGATCAAACAGGGATAGCAGAGTTTGCTGACCTTTTCCCAGTGAATGTCCATTCCTACAGGACGGTGCGAGTCCAGCAAATAATGGATGAACTCTTTGAATTTGACTCCAGATCCATTATTTAATGCTTCTTCAAAGGCATTTGGCCGATATTTCTTTATAATTGCCTTTCCAAATACTGGATGGTAATAACTATTGGGGTGTTCAAATTTGTCCCTAAATGCTGACACTAATCTTTCCATGGGATCACGAACAAACACAGCTTTGGTGTAGGTGTTTAAACGACTATAAATCCCTTTTAAGTCAAAGCTGTCGAGCTTCTTTAAATGCTTCCCGTAGTGAACAGCATCATGGGAGATGTTGTCCACAGAGGGGGCCAAGCCGTTGAGCACCATCAGAATTCGCTTCCAGTTGGAGCAGCCAGCCTTGGGTACTTCACAATATAAGATCTTGTGTTTATCTTCTACATAGATCCTGGAGACCATGTGAAAAACATTGGATTGAGGATGACTCACTCCACTGTATTTCTTGCAAAATTCCTGAAGGAAAGACCTACGTTTTTCTTGAGTTTCATCAATTCTCTTCCATTTACTGTCTGTGACTAAGCTTTTATTTAAAGGGTGAATGTCCACCGACCAATTCGTTTTGCTGAACTTCCTGAAAAGGATCTTCGTCCCTTGCTGTTTTTCAATCAACTGAATTGTTGGTGACCCGGGGTTTCTGCCCAAAGCTGGAGCCTCTCCTTGGGAGTGGTTGGTCTCCGTGAAGACCCTAGTAGGCCTCTTGGAGTTGAGTAGATTTTCCGGTTTATCCTTGGGATCCTCAAACATGTGGGACTTGGGGTTCTGTTAAAATAGAGAATGGGAAATGTTGAAAGAACATTCACAAATATGGGTATATAGATAAGGAGCTTAACACAATTGTTTTAAAATGCTATCCAGGGGGTCACATTTCATGTAAGCTGCCAGAACAATTTAGCAAAGCATGCAGAATATGTGGTTCATAGGCTTCTTCACAGAAAATGTAACAAGGAAAAATGGTATCCAGGAACTTTGAACCGAAGCTTCACATTGTACAGTATATGTAATTGGGTTGTTATTATGTTATTCATTTAATGTTCATGTGGTATATTACTTTAATAGATATCATGCAAAATTATCTGTATATTATTGGGATAAAACTACTAGTTGTTCTTTAGAATTTATTTATTTGGCTGTGTCAGTCACATGGGACCTTTGTTCCATCATGCAGGCTCAGTAGTTGCAGCATGGACTTAGTTGCCCCGTGGCATGTGAGATCTTAGTTCCCTGGCTGGGGATTGAACCTGCATCCTCTGCATTGCACAGTGAATGCTTAACCACTGGATCACCAGGCAAGTCCCCAAACTACTGGTTATTGATTTGAATCTATGGTCACAGTAAGTTTGTTATTATTTTTGTACCATCTTTGCATCTGTGGCTGTCAGTTATACAATCTTGTGCCTGTGTGCATCTTCAGTTACTTCTATTGTGTCCAACTCTTTGTGACCCTAAGGACTGTAGCCCACGAGGCTCCTCTGTCCATGGATTCTTCAGGCAAGAATACTGGAGTAGGTTGCCATTTCCTCCTCCAGGGGATCTTCCTGACCAAGGGATCAAACCTGCATCTCTTTGTGTCTCCTGCATTGCAGACGGATCCTTTACTGCTGAGTCACCAGAGAAATCCCCTACAATCTTACAAAATGCAAAAAAAGTATACACAAGATAGAAAGGAAAAAGCCCTGAATTTTCTATCTTAACTTTGCCTGTAATGCAGTAAAATATAACTCCATCATTCTATAGGTCAATGATTCTTGAGCTATTGAAGAATGTGTGACCTTCAAGCATTGACTTAGTGCATCTGAATGTAGATACAAAATGTATCTTGAGATTTTTGTTGTTTTTTTTTTGGGGGGGCATTCTATAATGTGCATAATATTTCAGAGTCATAAATTATAACCTAAAATTATAGCAAGGCCAATTATAAAAGTCTAATGGCCACTTCAGTTTTCCAGGCACTTGCAAAAACTGATATATAATTTTTTTCCCCTTGGAAAATGTTTTATTTTTCTAAAATTCATTTATCACAATAATTTCATAGTATCATACAGTTTCATTCATGTATGAGACCCTCCCTCTTTCCTAAGTGAAGAAAGACTAGGGAATCCACAAATGTCTACTTGATGTCCTGCGATACAAAACTGTATCAAAAGTAGGATGAGAATTTAGTTCTCTTGGTGGGATGGTTCAGCCCACTTACCATCTGTTCTTCATCTGAATATATCCTTCCTACAACTCTCAGAAGTGACTTGATAAAGGAAGTCATGGGAGACAGGGTTTATAAGGTGGCTTCCTCTAGTGACAAAAATTTTAAGAACCTTGACTTTTACCCTGGGTAAACTACAGAGGCTTTGGAGAGTTCTGAGCAAAGAAGTAACATGATCTCACTTGGACTAGAAAAGGATGGCTGAAGAGACTGAACTGAAGCTATACATGTGAGGTTGTCAGCAGGGTATTAGAAAGATGAATGAAAAAANGCAAAGTCAAGGATTTTTATCCCTTCCTCAAGGGCTTCCCAGGTGGCCCAGGTTCAACTCCTGGTATGGGAACTAGAAGTATCATGTGGGCTTCCCTGGTAGCTCAGGTGGTAAAGAATCCTTCTGCAATGCAGGAGACCCCGGTTCGATTCCTGTGTCCGGAAGATCTGCTGGAGAAGGGATAGGCTACCCACTCCAGCATTCTTGGGCTTCCCTTGTGGCTCAGCTGGTAAAGAATCTGCCTGCAATGCAGGAGACCTGGGTTTGATCCCTGGGTTGGGAAGATGCCCTGGAGAAGGGAAAGGCTACCCACTCCAGTATTCTGGCCTGGAGAATTCCATGGACTGTACAGTGCAAAGAGTCGGACATGACTGAGCGACTTTCACTTTGGCTACAGATAATATCCTGAGCCATAATCTGTGAGCTGTCGTGTAGATACTGACACCCCCAGCAGGTGGGAGAAGTCAATCACACGATGACCAGACTGCAGCCAGGGCATAAGCTGCCACAATTCTGAGAACTGGCCTCAAGGAAATGGAAGCAAACCGACCCCGGAACTGAAGATTAACTGTACCTAAAACAGTCAAGATAATGCTGGTCAGACCATCGATGACCAATTTCAGGACGACTATTAGAGCCAACTATGCCGTTTCTGCATGCACCACCCCCCCATCTATAACACTCTTGCCACCTGACTGTCTTGGAGGGGGCGGTCAGCCTTTGGACAGACACCTGCCCACCCCCCAGTCCCTGTTCCCAGCATCCAAAATGAAGCAAACTTTCCTTTCCATCAGCCTGGCCTCTTTAATGGCATTTGAGCAGCGAGCAGTCCGTCCCCACTTTTGGTAACAGTCTGAAAGATCACAGGGTCATTCACGGTGGCACGGGAAGTAATGAGCATGGCCCTGAGATCAAACTGCTGCTACATTTCTGCTGCTACTTCCTCAACTCCAACGATAAGCAATAATTGCTCTTGTTATTGTTTTAATAGTCATCATCATTGTATTTTATCCCAGTGACCCAGTGAATTTCAAGGCTCCCCAGTTGTCCATTATTATCCAGGCTGTAATTTGTGTGTCTACAGATGGCCCAATTAATTCTCTCCCTGCCCCATTAACAAGAACAAAAATGAAAGCAGCCCTCTGATCACCCTCTGGACCCTCTGCTTGTGGTCATCAGATTTCCCTTTATTCTCCAGGGACTTCTGGAATATTTACTTCCCATGACTTTCGCTGATGACTCTTGCACTTTTTCAAGTAGATGAAACTTCACTTCTTTACGCCACTTGTCTGTCCCTCAGGCCAGAAGATGGGGAGCTGTTTGCTTGTCTTTCCCCGCAGCTTCCAGGACACACCCCCCAGCCTGCCCTCCTGCTTCTGGGAAGCACCTGGGTCCTGCTCCACCCCTCTTTCTTCTCCCCATCTGGTCATCTGCTTTTCCCACTGACCTTTCCACTTCGTGCACTGAAGACTTCAGCTCCAGGCTCAGACGCTGCTTCTTCATCCCCACTCTGTCATCATGTGTAGTGACTCCAACACCCAGTAGACTCTCTGCTCCTTGACCACCTCGCCTTTCACAGAAGCGTCTCCATTTTACATGGATCTTGCTATTGCCAGAGTTTGCACCACCTCCATCACATCTCTGACCCCTGGCGTCTAACCATCCAGTTAGCTCATCAGGGCTTCCAGTTCTGCAATTCTATGACTGCTTGTCACTGTCTTATTCAAGCTCTTAGCAGCTAGCACGCCCGGTGACTCTCAGAAGTCACCTCTGTAGGGAGGTGTTCCATCTACACCTTGTTTAATTTATGCTCCCCTCTGAGATTTTCTCCCACTGAACCCTGCTTATTTTTCTCATACTGCTTATCAAAACATGAAATGATTTTACTTACTCCTATGCTCTTTCCACCCCATCCACCTCTCTTGCCCTAGAATGACTGCAGAGGTCTCATCTTTCTTGTTCGTTGTTGGGTCACTGGTATCTAGCATGTTACCTGATGCATAGAAGATGACCAATAAATAGCTGCTGAGTGAGTAAATGTGACTGTAATTTAACAACAGGCTTCCAAGGAGTTATTTTATGACCTTGTCGAAGAAAACCAGAGCTAATCAGAAGATCAAGGTTAACTTAGATAAATAATTGACTGATTCTTGTTAAGGGGCCAAAAACCTGTATTCAAACAAATCTTTGGCAGAAGAGAAAACAAATACAAGAGGCATAGGTAGGACTGCTCGTGCTAAAGTAGGTGTGGCGGCGGGACCCTCACCTGCCCCCCAGATCAGATTGGCTCAAAGTCACCCAGTACTGCCTGGGAACTCCTGGAGGCTGGCCAGCTGTCTAGACTCCCTGGCCTCACTGTGGACGCCCTGAAACAGAATCTGGGAGGCGGCTCTTGACTCTAATTTACTCTACAGGTGTGCTTGCGTGCTAACTCACGTCAGTCATTTCCAATTCCATGTGACCCTATGGATTGCAGCCTGCCAGTCTCCTATCTCCATGGGATTCTCCAGGCAAGCATTCTAGATTGGGTTGCCATGCCCTCCTCCAGGGGATCTTTCCAACCTAGGGATCGAACCCTTGTCTCTTACAGTTTTCTGGATTGGCTTCCAAGGAGTTATTTTATGACCTTGTCGAAGAAAACCAGAGCTAATCAGAAGATCAAGGTTAACTTAGATAAATAATTGACTGATTCTTGTTAAGGGGCCAAAAACCTGTATTCAAACAAATCTTTGGCAGGAGAGAAAACAAATACAAGAGGCATAGGTAGGACTTCTCGTGCTAAAGTAGGTGTGGCGGCGGGACCCTCACCTGCCCGCCAGATCAGATTGGCTCAAAGTCACCCAGTACTGCCTGGGAACTCCTGGAGGCTGGCCAGCTGTCTTGACTCCCTGGCCTCACTGTGGACGCCCTGAAACAGAATCTGGGAGGCGGCTCTTGACTCTAATTTACTCTACAGGTGTGCTTGCGTGCTAACTCACGTCAGTCATTTCCAATTCCATGTGACCCTATGGATTGCAGCCTGCCAGTCTCCTATCTCCATGGGATTCTCCAGGCAAGCATTCTAGATTGGGTTGCCATGCCCTCCTCCAGGGGATCTTTCCAACCTAGGGATCGAACCCTTGTCTCTTACAGTTTTCTGGATTGGCAGGTGGATTCTTTACCAGTAGTGCCACTTGAGAAGCCCAACACAAGCAATAATGGCATTTGGAGTCCACTAAACTGGAGCATAGCAGTGGAAGGTGAAAAAAAAAAAAGAGTTCATTTCATACCATTCAGGAGAGAGAGACCCCC